CAGAATATCTCCAAAGTAATGAATCCCTTTTGTGAGGCACCTTCTGTAACATCAATAACTAGAATTTATTTACCTTATAAAAATTACCTCAGTGCGATGGAAGCATCATTCATGCTGCTACGCTTATGACAGTGTTTCCAGTAAAAGCTTCACTTTTCAAACATACAGGATTCAGCTGTGCAAATCTGGGAGTTGAAATGAAAGTCCACACATGGAACAGCTGCTACAGTGGGACCTCATATGGAGAAATGTACACAGAAGTTGTGTGGAGCTGGTAGCCTTTACATCACAGAAATTATTAACATGGGCAAAAAGGCAGGAGGAGAGAGATTGCTTCCACCCTGCTGGCTCTGCCCAACGTGGGAGGCACATGGAGGGAATGGGAGCCAATGCTCTCCTCCTTCCCTCAGACCCCAAAAGCCTTCAGGGTATATCCCACCCTCTCATCTCCCAGCCTGGAAGCATTCTATCTCACATGTAAAAGCAAGCAGGGGAGAATATTTTTGCCTGTGTGTTGCCCAAGCCCCACCACCTTGCCCTTGGTCACCCAGGCAGAGGAGCTGCTCATGACACAGCTGCTTAGAGCTCACAATTTACAGAGAAGAAGATTAAGGCAAACCAAAATTGATGATACTTTATTTTAAAATACTCCCCCACAAAGACTGTTGTCCTTTTTCCATCACAGCTGACTAGTGGGATCTTTTGTTGAAGAAACTGTTCTGTGTGGCCTCATGACCCCTCTAAGTGCATCTTCATTAGTGTTTTAGTTCACATCAGAAGTGTGAATTTGAAGCTAGATGCCTATTGTCCCTAAATATTGTGCTTTTGGTTTGCTTAGAGAAGCAGTCCCAAGGCACACAAACTGTTTCTTTTCACTAAGTCACAACTGTTTTCCTAGAGCAGAAGATAAGGCCTGGGAATGCTCTAATGCCAAGGGGCTTTCTGGCAGATTACAACTAGTTTGAAGTTTTATCCTACAGATCCCCCCATCTTGGGCTGGATTTCTGGTAAGGAAGACAGTGTTGATACTTGAAGGTTACAGCTCTGATTTCCTGGAGGATTTTGTTTTGCTGTATTTCTTTTCCCCTCTCTCTCTCTTTTCTTCCTTTCATTTTTTTTTTCCTGCTAAAGAAAATATATCACCATTCCATGAAAATCTAAACTTTTCAGCTGACAAAAGACAAAAAGACACAGAAGAGATATATTTTGATTGACAGTGTTGAAAAACATCATGTTGAACTGTACTAAATACCTGTCAAACACCAGCTTTTTCAATTCTATTCTCCCAAAAGGAGCTGCTTTTGCTTGATTTAGCAGATGATCAATGTTTTAGCTGCCTGGGAAAAAATTAATTTGGACTTTTTCTATACTTCACATATTCCTTCCTTATATCAGGGAAAAATGTCTTCTCCCATGGCTTAAGTTACAATAGCAGGAGTGTTATTTCTTGATATACATTTCTTAGCATTTGTTCATGTAAAATTCAACTCATAATGATATAATTTTCCTTAGAGTCAGTAGCTGGTGAAAGGATAAACCTACTGGAGAGCACTGCAGGTGCCCAAAGAGGCAAATCTGGTTCCCTTAGGGAACCAACCAGCAGTTTGAGAACTGCTGTGCCTGCTGGTGTAAATATGGAAACCATCAGAGAGTTAGGGATACATCAAAGGTCTGACAAAACTTTATTTGACTAAAGAGAAGTATAATCAAACGCTGACAATCTGCACTTATGTGGTTGTTGTTGGCCATTTAATGACATGTTAACTAAGCACAGCTGACTAAAACGTCACTAATTGGTCTAACATATATAGCCTGCCTCTCATACAGTATAATATAACATCTAAGGGTGCATGTGTTTCATATCTATCTTCAGAAGCTGTGTGTGAAGGTTGCAGCACTGTAAAGGCCTAAAGTTTGTGAAGGTTGTCACATAAGTGAACAAAGCATGATACAGGACCTGCTATGTGAAATTTTCAAATAGAAATTACTTTTACTCAATTCTTATACATACTTGAAATCAATTGAAAAAGTTTCAGGTTTGACCCCTGTGTTTTACACTGCCACAATGTGGCCAGACGGGCTAGCTAGCTCCACAAAGGAATACAAGCAGCAGCTAAAGTCTTCTGAAACTGGGAAAATGAAATAATAGTAATCTCCAGCCAACAGAGACAAAAATGACTAAAAGGATTGGGCTACCTAATGCAAGATACACTTGAGATTGCTCAAGCCTTTTCAAGACCAGAGTGGATTTCAGCCCAGTGGCTCAGGAAAGATCCTAGCCAAATGCAGATCCTTCCCTTCATGTACAGGAGACTCCAGACTGCACTATGTGATGAGCCAAACAACAGCATTTTACTGGTGAAGAAATGGAGGCCAAAGTACTCCCTGTCTTTCTGCTGCTGAGTCTGTCACACAGGAAAGACACAGAGCACTGTTCTCATCTCCAATTAGGTCTTTTTGTTTAAGGCCCCTAAGATATTGGAAATTACTCTCTTAATGAAACTCCACCACTAAGGAGAAAATCAACATGACTGTAGTAATGTGAACCTGTGTTCATCTTAACATCTGCTGCCTTAGAATAAATATATTTTATAATTAATAGTATTTACCCCATAGGACAGCAATGCCAAAGCTGATCAAACATAACAAACTCAGTAAGCGTCTGACATTGCATTGCATCATGCCAAATGTGTCAAATAATAGCCATTTCTCCTATGAAATGAATAGCTTTTTATTTTTAAGTTTTGTTTTTGTTTTTTTTTATCCTGAGGATGAAAAGCAATCGGGACTCTCCTAAAAAGACCGAGTTTCTTGTCTCCCTTGTCATTGCCACATATTTGCTAGAACAAACCTTCCCACTTGGCTCCCTCTCTGCAGGGCTGGGCAGAGCACGTGGGAGTGAACCGTGTTTGACATTTAGTGTGGCCAAGCAGGGCCCGAGGAGCAGCCTTTCACTAACTGGGGGAGAAAATGTGTTTTTTGGAGTTAGCTCACCCACTGTTACCATATGTAGAAGAGAAATGATGGGGTGCTGACTAACACTGTGGGGAAGCTTGGAAAATCCTCTGAAAACTGAAATAGGAGACTATCTTAGGCATTTCCTTCACCTCTGTCTTTTAGGTGCTTTCTCTTCCCATCTGCTCAGCCTACAATTGCTTCTGTGTTCTTTCTGCCTTCTACATTGCTAATTTTGGGCTCCTGCTGGAAATTGCCTTGAAACTAGAAAGGTGTTTGTTTTGAACTAGACAAAACATTGGAAATATATGACTCTGGAGTAACAGGAAAAGACATAACTATTGCAATTCAGAGTTTTACTATTTCTAGCTTCTATTTTTTTCCATAAGTTAAAAATGCATTAAGAAACATTTAGAGACATCTTTAAAAGTGTACAATTTTATGCCTTTCTTCTCATAGAAACCAAAGAGAAATCACCACTGACATTAATGGAACAAATATAGAAATATTATTATCTTATACAAGGACGTTTTAAATTTCCACTTTTTGGCATAGAGAGAGAAAGAAAATAGAAATGGCCACAAACACAGTATTGTTACTATGATTATAGTTGTAAGTTATAAATTACAATTGCTAGGAATGCTTCTTAATTTCTGTACTTCTGCTTGTCTTTTAACCTGCCAGTGTTACCAGGGCAACTCCTGAGGGAACAGATCTTCTGCAAAAGCAATGAAATGGAGAGATTATGCCTCGTAGAAAGGGAGGAATAACAAAAGACAGAAATCTTTCATAAAAAAATCACAATAAAATGGATATTAGCATCCCCTTTGCTACTTCTATGTCTCTTATTTTTGTCCCTTAAAGACTTACTATTCCCCTACATGCTTTCTTCCCCCTCCTCCCATGGCTACTTTATAACAGCAGAACAACAACTCTTTTCTTCTTCAGGGTAAAAATGTCATTTATACTGTGTGAAGGAAACTGCTACTCCTCACAGCTGAATTTTCAGTGACATTTTTAATCTGTAAAGTACTGGTACCTAATGTTTACAGTGAAGGTGTGCCATGGGCAATTTTACAACTTATTTACTATTCTTCTGAGCTAAATGTATGAGGCTTTTAGATATGTAGCAAACAACATACAAGATGCCAGTTTGTTTCAAAGAACTGCATTTATTCTAATTACATGCTGAATTACAAAGTAGAGTTTAGCTCCCCACACAGTTTGCCAGGAAGTCTGTGAGGACCCCAGCACACATCTTCTACAAAAGCAACATCAGTCTCCTCATTCTGAGGCCATTTCCCTTAGGTTGGATGGAGAGGATTTGTTCATTTTGGAAAGAGCATGATGCCAAAGCCCCCAGAGCTGGGTCCAGAGGCACCTGGACCCAACCTGCTGGCCTCAGCCCTGCTGAGCATCAGAGCTGCTTGGAGAGGATGGTAAAGTAGCAGTGCTGCTGTACCAGGCTGGTGTACACAGTGCCATAACATGGGCTGCAGGTGAACAGATTTCCCTGGGAGGATGCTCAGCATGTATCCCTTCATTCTTGGCAGATTTTACCAGTTTGGTCCAACCACAAACACCTAGGAATCATTGTTTAAAAGCCCATCAAGATCTCATGACTAATCTTTTGCTCTACTGTTTTGAACATGATGTTGGGATGTATTACTAATTAGCTGATCACATGGAAATAAATACATGGTTTATGCTCCTGGGATGTGCAGGGAAATTATCTTAACTGTTTGTCTAAGATTTTATTTCTCATTTGTTTGCACAGCTTCTAGCACAACACTAATCACAGCATTGATTGCAAAAGTAAATCTAACAGAAGACAAAAGCTGTGAATCCTTGGAAATACAGGGACATATTAAATAATATTCCATTTTATAGGTGAAAGTATTCACTTTAGAGAGGTGAATTCTTTTCTCCTTTATTTTTCACCTTTTGGAAAACTGCTTCGTCCATAATCACACTGTGTCTTTCTCAAACATCTGGCAAATGTCTTTTAGGGATGGCCTAAAATTGTAGAACAGAGAAAATACAAATAGCATAATTATGGCTTTATTTTGGTCAGCTCATGAAATTGAAGGATTAGCTGTATGGGCCAACTGTTAGTCAGGGAGGTGGCTCAAGGTCAGAAGGTTATTCTCTTGACTCCAAAGAAGATCTCTGTACTAGAAAGAAGAAAGCTTCAGACAGTAGCAAATTGATGTTTTAGCTTAATCTCTTAAGAAAAGAGAGTTTATGGGATCACTTATGTATACCTACACGTTTTGTCTTATCCTCTTCCTCACAATACCTCTTGAATCCATTTGTCAAATTCAGTGCATTTTGACAGAGATCTGAAGTTCTCCAAGATATTTTGTGCCTTCATGTGTTGAAGCAGTTGACTAAAGGGGGAGACAGTATTTGTTTTCCAGTGAGTGAAAGACTTTATTGGAGGCTTAGATTTGCCAGATAGGGTGAGACATAATGAAGATGCCCATTAAAAGGAGAATTTCTGTCAAAGTTCACCCTAGCAACTCCAGCTGTGAAAGATCCATCAATAAGAAAACAGGTTTATTTAGTTATAAATTTTACTGTAGAGGAGATGCAGTAGTACAGATAAGTTCATGTGAAATACACAGTAGTGTGTATACAGAGCTGGGTGTAGTTTGCTGTGATCTGGCTCATCCTGTCCTTTGAGCTGACAGAGGCAGCCTCAGAGCAAGAGTGTGCTAACCATCTTAATGAAGAGGTTTGTTTGACCTGATGTCTGCCTTCCTGCAAGGTCTTTATTATCTCAAACACAGAATGATATTCTTGTGTTTGATCTACATGGGAAAAGAAGGTAAATGCTCAGAAAACAATTCCAACAAACACTGTGATCAAAGCTCTCTCCATTTCAGTTCAGTGGGGTGCTTTAACCACAGCTTGCTCTGTGGCTTACAGCAGAGGTTTTATCCTGCAGTAGAAAAAAAGGCTGATACTTAAATCAAGAATTATGTGAAAATGGACATATAGGGGTTTTTCCTCTGTTGAAAATTCTGGTGTCCAACAGGGGGAGAGTTTTAATTGAAAAACTGCTTGCTGTCCCTTTTTACTTCTCTCTCTTATGAAGTGTCTCCATAATAATCTCTTTTTTTGTTTGTTACTTTGCTCACTCCCCTTTCCCTTCCCCTGCTTTCTCCAATGCCCTGATCTTCCTGGAACTAACTTTCCTTAGAGGCAACTGCAGTCAGCAGCTAACATAGCTTATCTCCTCTTTCCTGTTTCTTCTGGACACATTCCCATTCTACCATCACATTCCACTTCTTGTGTCTGAAGCAGCCTTGTGGGTCATTCTCATCAGGCAAGCCCTGCACATCTACTCCTCAGTGTGTTCACAGGGATGCTCTGCTCCAGGACCTACAGGGACACAAGGACAGGGCAGGACTCAGACAAACCCCAGAACTGCATAACCTCATGTACTGTGGTGAAATGTGTGCAGGGAGCAGGGAGTGAGACCAGAGGAGGCAGGAAACTCCCCTTCTCTCTGGGAAGAGAGTTGAAGGAGCAGCAGAAGCCACTAGATTTGGCTCAAAACTAGAACTGAGAGTCCTGGATCACTTCCTGCCTCCCCAGCAGCCAAAGTTTTACTCTGATCAATTTTCTCTGTAAGAACATGTTTTTACCTGTCTCACCAACACAGCTTTGATATGTAGTGCACATAAATTTTGTAATAGCATAGAAAAGTTTTAAAAAAAAGAATTTAACTAGAGCTGTCAAATTCAGAGACTTTGATCTTTGAACAAGGCATTCAAAGTTAGATGCCATAAATATCTAAGATAAATATGTGGCTAGCTCATTAGAAGTACAGAGGAACTTAAAGTGCTGTTGAAATCTGAAAATTAAACACGAAACCCAATCAGAACCAATGCCTGTCACTTTGTCAGAAAAAGAAAAAATAGAAAAAAACCCAAAAAAACCCGACTAACCCAAACAACCAATAACCCACCACCTAATTTAAACAGATCATCAGACTACAACCTTAAAATATATATTTACATTTATCACTGCAATCAAATATAAGGAAGGCCATTAAAGTAGTAATAAATAATATATAGGTTCACAGAAAAATGGCATTCATTTACACCTGCTGATCTTGCTATCTGTGATTGTGAAGAAGATAATAGATTTTAAACTTTACCTTACTTACCAGGCATGCAGAAAAGTCCAGGTGTTAATGGAAGAAAATGTGGAAGTAAGTGAATTCTTTCATCTGCTCTCCACACCCTTGAGGCAGTTTTTACTTAAAAAAAACCCTCCCTAAATCCCCCTTTAGCTCAGGAAGGGGGATTGCTTGAGACTGTCCCTGAGGGGCTACTCCCATGCTTATCTGAATGACAGATTCCTGGACAATGGGATACATGAATATCCACACTCCCTCCATCCAAGAGAATAAAAAGGTAGGAGAGCTGACAGAATACAGCAATATCTTTTTCATGGGATTATCTCAAAGTTTGCTATCAAAACTATCTTCTTTTCTTTTGAGGGTTTATTGAGGGTTTTGCCGTTGCTCCTTTTCTTTATGCATGGGATTAAGAAGATTTTCTGTCAGTGTTGAAAAAGAATAGATTTGCAGAGACTCTGAAACCCGCCAAACTTGAAGGTGCCACACATAAAGAGAGGCAGAGTTTCCTAAACCCAGGCTGCTATGCTTGGATCAGCATTCCTGCAGGACAAATGTCTGTCCCTGTGTTTTCAAGGGGCACACAGAGAAAAATAAAAATTCTTGACATGGCTTTCAAAGGACTGAAAGAACAGAAGTAGAAAATCATGTTCTCTGTGTGGAGGTGAGCTATCTCTCACCCATTTCAGCTATCTAAGGGCTAGGCATCGGGTTTAAGCCAGCCATGCCAGTACTCTGTAGTTCATGAAGAGGCAGGCACCTATAAAGGACAATTAATCTTCTCAAAGAACAGATGTATGAGGGATGAGGAGGAAGTCTGTCTTTCATCAGAGACTACTGGGGGAGCCCAGATGATGAGCTAAGGCCAGATGCCTAACCTTTAGACAGCTGATGATAAAGGAGATGAATCTGTGACTTTATCAGAAGATGAGAGGTGATTGTACTGCTGTGTGACCTGACAAACAAACTGGTTTCTAAAGAATATGTGCTATCAATTTTTTTAAAATCAAGCTGTAATCTCTCCTGATAAGAAAAACACATCAATATTTGATACTTAATTCACTGGACAGCCTTTGCATGAGTTTCTCCACTAGTTTTGGACACTTACTTTTCTGACAGCAGAACTGGAACATGTCTAGCCACAATTCCTTACAAAAGAGGAGAGAAGAGAGGATCATGAAAGAGACAAGCTTGCTGTTAAAGTATATTACACTCAATAACTGCTGCTTTAAGGATGAGGGTGTTAAGCTGCTGCTCTGATGTGTCAGCTTTTTAAAGTATAGCAGGAATGGAAATAATCATAGGATATGCTGAGTTGGAAGGGACCCATCAGGATCACTGAGTCTAACTCCTGGCCCTGCATGGGACACCCCATGAATCCCACAAGGTGCCTGAGAGCACTGTCCAAATGCTTCTTGAGCTCTGTCAGGCTCTGTCAGGCTGTGACCACTTCCCTGGGGAGCCTGTTCCATGCCCAGCCACCCTCTGGGTGAAAGAACCTTTACCTGATATCCAACCTAAGCCTCTCCTGATTCAGCTTCAGACCACTCCCTCGGGTCCTGTCACTGGTCATGGGAGTGGAGAAAATGGGGTTCACCAGCACTTCATGCAGTCATGGGAATGGATTATTGGGATTGAGGCTCTTGCTGACCTTAGAATACTAATGGCACAAAACAACATACTAAGCACTAGGGGCCTTTCTTCCATAACCCTCATACTGTTTCAAAGCTAGATCTAAGAATCGTAAAATCACAGAATCAATGACTTGGATTGGAAGGGACCATAAAAATCTTATAATCCAACCCCTCTGCTGTGGGCAGGGACACATTTCACTAGACAATGTTGCTCAAAGCCCTACTTCCAGGGATGGGGCAACAACAGCTTCTTTGGACAACCTGTTCCAGTGCCTCATCACTCTCACAATAAAGAATTTCTTTCTAATATTTTATATAAACCTACACTCTTTCAGTTTGGAGTCATTCCCCCTTGTTCTTTCACTAAAGACTCTTGTAAATAGTCTCTCCCCATCTTTCTTGCAGGCTTCCTTCAGGTGCTGGAAGGCTACAATAGGGTCACCTTCTCTTTTCCAGGCTGAACAATCCCAATTGTTTTAGCTTTTCCTCACAGGAGATGTTCTCCATCCCTCTACTCATCTTGGTGTCTTGCTCTGGGTTTGCTCCAACAGGTCAATGCTGTTCCTATGCTGAGCATTCTGGAGCTGGATGCTTAAGAAGAATGACACAGGCATCTTGAACTACCTAAGAACCCATTTTCTTGTTCATATAGTCTAAAGATTCTCATACGCAGGCCATTCACACCCTAAACCACCCAAATTTCACACCTCAGTGCTTCTTCCATATACAGTACATCATCTTGCAGAACCCTTGTTCTCAGGAGAAGGTTCTGAGCTTTGCATCAACACGAAGTAGAACATGAGTGCTTGCAGCCTTCAGTCAAGTATAACATTTCTCTGGATACAACCCTATGCTCCTGTTTCCATCAGGTAGTTGTAAATAACCCACCTGCCGCACAATGGCTTTCAATGTACTTCTTTCTCCCTAAATTTTCTGTTGGAAAACTGCTTTCTGCTGTAGTAAGACACTTCTGATTTCCATTCCAGGGGATCAGGAAGCACTTTTGCATTTAACCTGCAGACAATGAAACCTTTCACTGGGCCAACCTCTTTCCCTATAAATCTTGTCAGTAAAGGAGAGGAACTCACTTGTCAGTATCGAAGCCTTCTACAGATACTTATGGGTAAATCTGGGCAGGTGTGGTGCAGTTTTGGGTTTCCTCCTGTAGGCCTGCAGCCATATGATTCTTTGCAGAAGACAGACAGAATATTTATAGCTATGCAATTATTGAATAAGCTGCAATGAGTCCTGGGGAAGCCTGTATGTAAAAGAAATCCCTGCAGAAAAAGATTATTTCATCTTGTTTTTATGTTAGTCCTCTTCATTGATAATCAAAGCAATTATATCTACAGAAACATCCTGGCTATTCATTTACTTAGGAATGTTTTAATTTTCCTGCCATCAGTGGAGAATGTCAAAACTGTATTAAACCTGTTGATTTGCATTCATCTGCTTGACAAGGTAAATTCAGTTTTTACAGAATATTTCCCATCAAACTTAATTAGCCCCCATGTAAATAACTGAAACAGATACAATCAGCCGTCATAATGAACATATTTAACTCTATTCTTCCTCCACCTGGGGCAGCAAAGGCTGTTCAGTTCAAAGACCAGGGATGTGACTTCATAAGACAATAAATCTATTTCTAACACTTTGATACATGATCAAAAATTCTGCAATCCTATGAAGTAAAGCACTGATATAGTTCATGGTTTTGTTTGATTAAAAACAAAGTGACTGTGCTGGTCACTTTGCTAATTTAAGCTTGTTCCAAAAAATGTGACTGGCTAATTTAATTCCAGGAGTTCAGCTAGTAGCCCTGCTCCTGCTGTTGGCATCCAAATGGAATTAGCTTCTATATGATTGTATGTGCCTACCTGACCTCAATCATCCTGAAACTCCGCGTGTCACCTACCTGGACTGGACTGGAGGAGCCAGCCAGACTGACATCACTGTGGCAGCTCTGCACAGAGGGGCAGTGAATCTAGCCAAAGAATTTTAAATGGACCATTTTGGCTTTTTCTTATAGATGCAGAACATGCAAGGGAAAAAAATTGTTGGTTTGGGTTTTTTTTTCATGAATGTGTATTTCAGGATATGTCTCTCAGAAATTTTGCTTTTAACATTCTGTAACTGGGGGGGAAAAAGGCTTTTAGAATAAATAACTTCTAGACTAGTAAAACAGATGGTGAAGAATTAGCATTGTAATCACATTACACACTTCTGATATTTTCAGAACATTTCACTTTCACAATTTGCATTTGTTTGCTGGTATTAAAAGCTGGAGATTTGCTCTTTTCATCCTGATCTGTGAAAGGGGCTCCTTCATTTGTTTGTTTATCTTTTTTGAAAAGTCTAAATCTTACAGTTTGAGAAAAACAGCTTCTCCCTCACTCCCTATCGACTTTAAAAGCCTGTCAAACATCTTTCTGTAGATCTGATTTATTGAAGCCATGCCAAAGGTGGACGGCACAACTCCGTGCTTACTTGACCAATTCAAAGGGGGTGTTTATGGGCAGACACTGTGGCCTAGAGGATGTTATCTCTTTCCCACCCCCTGCCAGGATGGAATCTGACACTTCTCACTTCGTTGATGTTTTCTTCTCCCTTGCCCCTGGCTGTGGCTAAGTGATTGTTTATGGCAGATACTTTAAATCATTATCACCTCCTGGGCCTTTGAGCACAGCTACATAATCTGCTGTTGCATCAAGGAAACTCTTCTTTCAGTACAAAACAAGGCCAAATGTTTATCTGGTGAGATGACAGTCAAAGTGTCTCCTCTAATATTTAAAAATAAACAGCAGTGCCCCTGCTCTGTCGCAATGAGCATCTGCTGGCTGAAGCTGAGCAGGATTCCTGACACTCTGCAGTATGTGACAAAGGAGTCCTTGGATGTTTGTTTTTAAAACATTAATAAATACTCAGGAAACTTGGGTGATGGTAGAATGTATCAATAAGCTCCCCAAAATATGGTTTGCTTATGGCACAGCCTTAGCACTTAGAGCCGTGGTTTGCAGTGTGCTGGTGCCATCGCACCAAGGAGAGATTTGCTGTAGCCAGCAGTGACTGCAGCAGACAGCTGGCAGGGCAGAAGGAGGTGCTGGGAGCACCAGGAAGGCCATGACCTCTCTGCCCGACTTGGGAAACCAAAGCCTGTTGTTGCTCCCCGGGGGAAGACAGGAGAACGAGGGCTGTGATTAGTGATTACCAGCCAACCATGTCTTGGGCTGCATCCAACCATGCTATTCACCCCCCTCTACTCTGCTCTTGTGAGATCTCACCTGGAACACTGTGCCCAGTGCTGGGGCCCCCTGTACAAAACAGCCATGGAACTGCTGGAGTGAGTTCAAAGGAGGCCACAAAGATGCTCTGAGGGCTGGAACCTCTCCTGGGAAAACAGGCTGAGAGAATTGCAGTGGTCCAGCCTGGAGAAGGGAAGGAACTTACAGCATTTTGCAGTACCTAGAGGGGCTACAAGAGAGCTGGAGAAGGACTTTTTACAAAGTCATGTAGTGATAGGACAAGGGGTAATTACTTTAAACTGAAAGAGGGTAGGTTTAGATAGATATAATGAAGAAATTCATCATTGTAAGGGTGTTAAGACACTGGCAAGGTTGCCCAAAGTGACTGCCTCATCCCTGGAAATGTTCAAAGCCAGGCTGGATGGGGCTTTGAGCACCCTGGTACAGAGGAAGGTGTTCCTGCCTATGGCAGAGGATCAGAACAACATGGTCTGTTAGATCCCTTCCAACCCAAATGATTCTGTGAGTAATTTTATTAAAGCAGCCTCTCCCTGAATTCCAGTGACTACAGTTATGACCTTCCAAGCACCCTGGGAAAAAGTGCTCCTTCAGAGTGGTTTCCACAAACATACCCTGGCTCTTGCCTCCTTGATTGTGCCTTTCATCCTCTTAGCTCTCCTCCTCAAGGCAGCAACATTCAGCTTTTTAAGGGGTTAAAGACCTTTGACAGGCCCAGTCAACTGCCATAGCAAAGCTCACAGCTCTCTAAGGGTTTCTAGGAGTTTTCAAGTAGTTTGTTGGCAGAGGGGGGTTCAAAGGAAGCAATGGAAGGATCCCTGTCGGTCGGCTGGTAATAATTATATAGCTCCTCTTACACATTGAGGCCAGGGGTATTTTCTGGGAAGTTTCTATTTGAAAAGGACTTTGAAAATAAAAGTCTCACCTATTGGAAGGACTCAAGTGGGTGCTGAATATTTTCTGAATGGAAATTGGCCCAAATTTCCAAGTCTTAGGAATCTTAGGTCACTTGTTACTAAGTGAATGAGAAAAACACTGTCAAATATTACTGTATAAAACCCTAAAATGAGAGTTTGCTTTAGAATCCACATGGAATTTCGTATTGGAATTGAAGTTTAATGATTTACTTGATAAGGAGCTGGTGTTAGAGTAGGAGTTGATGTATAGGCTTAAATTCTGGTCGAAATTAAGTTCCTCAAGGCTTTTGCACTGACCAGAGCTTTTTGGAGCCTTTTTTTAAGGAAGTGGATGGAGAGAGAGAGGGGAGGAATAGGGGACAGTGATTAGGAAAGAAATAAGCAGATTTCATGGATATTCCCATTCTTCAAAGGGAAGCTTGCTGTCCAAAAACATTAACATCAACAGAAATGTAACGGGTTTACATTTTTGGTTAACCATACAACACAGCTGTTACCTCACTTCACTGTTCAATATATTGCAGGTTTAGTGCATGAAATCACTCTGACGTGCAAACTAATCCAAAACATGGTAGCAGGAATAAATACAGCTAAATAAAGAAGTCCTGGTTGTGGCTTTGAAAGATTCCTACTGTTGCACTGCATTGAAAATGTCCAGAGTTGTCAGCACAGGCAAGGCTGACTCTCAGCATGGGTGCCTAGGAAATGTTTTAAACAGCTAAAGTATCTGCAGTTACAGTTTGAGCCAGAGACACAGTAGTTGTTTTGTCCTTTCTGTTATATTACCCCTTTCACAGTAATTGCCTGACAAAGGCAGTGGTGGGGAACAGCATAGGAGCATTTTTGTTGACTTTGCCTCTGTGAGCATGAATTAAAGGAAAATCTCTCTGTGCATAGGAGCAGTTAAAAGGTAGCATTGTTTTCTAGCTTGGGATATCAAGGACCAGACATGGACTATAATGACCTAATGAGATTTACATTTTCAACACTGAAAGAGAGCTTGAGTCTGGCCCTTTCCTTATTCTTTTGGCTTTGCATTTAATAACCATATTGAATATATTACCTTTGCACTCATGTCTTTCAGTCAAAGTATTCCTGATGTTGTAGTTACATCTCCAAAACCTAACTCGGCAAGCTTAGCCTGAAAGGACATTCAATCACCCAGATCCAAAACTTTGTAAATTGGACCTGAGCAATTACATTTTTTTCTCCTTTCAGCTGACTGATTTATTCCTGGATTATTTTTACCTGTATTTTTTCTTTTTGTTTAATCTGATCATTATTTACCAAGCTTTGCCTTCTCCTTCTGCTGCCTCAAAATCTTACATAGTCCATTCCTTTTCATCTTGCTTTACTTACCTCTCCCTTTCATGACCTTAGGATATAAATTACTTCCTTCAAAATGGATCACTCATACTTACTCTTTTACCTCAGCGATTTCAGACTGGATAGTCAGTTTGGAGTTATTTGTCTAATATCCCCCTTTTGAAGTTTTAATGCCAGTTTGAACTGCAATGTGTACTAATTTCTCCTAGTATCACTTCTGCTCATTTTTCTCCAAAGCTGGAGAAGCTTCACTTCTCCATGTTCACATTCTTGAAGTAATTTCAGTTTGCCTTCTCCTTGCCTCCCATGCTTTCAGTCTTGCAGTAAGTTTTATCTTCTTGTCCAATATTGTCAAACTTCTCTCTCTTCAAACTTTTCTTCTGTGGTTAATCAGCCCCACATCTCTGCTATACCTTGCTTCAATTAATGTAGGCTTTAGCTTATCAGATTTTTTATGAAGGTGTGAAAACTGTATTTGTCCATAACTTGCTTACGATGTCTTCCTGGGGAATCAAAATATGTGAAATATTTTATTTTAATAGTGAAAAACTATTAGTGTTTCAGTCACTGTCAGGTTCTTGTCCAATTAATTTTTTAATTCCAATGTCTGAACAAAAAGCTTTAGAGAATGGCCTGATAGTAATTTTTTAACACTTTTCTTACCCCTATGATTTTTTTTCTCTGGGTATTAAAAGTATATGAAAAAGGCTGATTCCACACTGAGGAGAGGTGATGTTACATGTTCTTTGACGTATAAGCCAGTGTTATGTGGGACTTGAAACATCCTGAGTCAAATATTAAATCCTTGAAACGGAACAAGATATTTAGAACATTATTTTTTACCACCAACTCCAGTTGGAGAACTTTCTTAAATAGACTCCTCAGTCTATGATTCTTTAATGTTAACATCACCTATGAAACCTTGTCTACTCTTCAAAATACTGCAGTGCTCAAATGCAAGAAGTAAGGATCTGGAAATCCAAGCTATTAGATTAAACAATTATTTATTTTCCTCAGTTCAATATTCCTCAGTATGACAGAGAGAATTTTCACTGTAAATTATATTTCAGATTACCCTGACCAATGAATTATAGGGAACCACTTGCTCTAGGGATATCAAAATTAATTAATGCAAAAGGATTATGATTTTCATAACTTTCTTTTCTAAATCTGGCCATATTTTTGAAGTGACCAGAACACACTGCATATAGTGATTAATTTTTGAAACTCACACAGCTAATTCCATCTACTGTGACTGAGAAACAACCTGACTTTGGTGGCATTTTTTTTTTTTTTTTTTTGTACATACTCTGATCTATGTAAATCTAGAACCAGAGGAAGAATACTGAATGGCATTATTGGAATTTTTATCCTGCTGTTGGAGATCTAGAAGAGATTTGTTTGTATGTTTGGTTTGGTTTATTTCCCTTCTAAGTAACATTGTTGAACTGTAATAAGGGGGAAAGGGGGCAGGGGGAGGACAAATAGAAGAAAGAAATAAACCCACATTTGAAGATTATGAACACAAAGATATTATGAATATAAATTCTGTTTCCAGCATGAAATAATCTACGCACAAACCATGAAACCATATAATTAACAAGAAGGATTTACAGAAATTTATCCTCATTGGAATTTGGACTCTAATATGGCCAATAGTTGAGTGCTTTTATTTCATGAAGAAGGGAGTTCTGCTGTACTCAAACTCTTATTTGAAATATGAACTCTTGTGAGTAGAAGGAAAGGGTTATCCTTTCAATTCTACCTTCTAGCTTGATGAGTATTTCTTTTCCACTGACTGTAGTCACAGCTACCTGTTAAAAGGCTTTAATACACACTGCAATGGAAAGGAACATCAGTGATGCATCTCTGGGGAACACCATTCATACTGTCTTAGATCATAACCCAAAATGAGCTGTTGATCTCACCAGTTCTCATTTGTTTGCAGTATAAAACCACCACATGGTTTGGCAAAAAAATTCCCTGTCTAGGGAAAGCTGTGGCTTTTGAAGGGTGTAGCAGGTTTAGTATATAATTGAACACAGGGAATACACAAATGGCAGTGTTGTTTAATCACTGAACTAATTTACACATGGAAGAAATATGTTACTTGTGTTTTCTACCACCAGATACCTTCCTGGCTTGATTATTTTTTCATTCTCTTTAAATTCTGTGATCCTTTCTAATGAAGGGTTTCTTATTCCCAATCAGCATTGTGGACACAGTCTAGTCAGAGTATCTATGAGTTCATTGTCTAGATGTTTGCATCATTTAGTAATAAACACAGCTGACACTGTTTTAGCTGATCAAGTCAAATTAAACCTTCCTTTCTCAGCAAACAAACCTGACCTGAAAGACAATAACACCTTGGTCTATTGCGTGGCCTCTCATTATTTTCTGAAATTAATGTTAAATGAATAGGATGTTGAAAAAGGTTGCTTTGGCTTTTGTGCACATGAAACTTGATTCTGCCCTGCACTGTTGCATGGTAATTAACTCTTCACTATTGGAAGTCAACACACAATTACATCTTCTATGTCAGTGCTCAGATTTTGAGGAGGAAGTATTCAATTAGCATTGTCAAATAAAAATGTAGACATTTTCTATAGAGAAGGAACCTTTTGTTGATTTAGAGTCAAGGAGTGTCAAAGGCACAGCAGGAAATTGCCATTAGCCAATCTGGACTTTCTCAACATGCAGCTCTACATCCCATAATCATCAGCTTCTGAAGGAGAGCAATTTAGGTAGCAAGTCAATCACATCTGTAACTTTGGCCAACCCATCTATGGCATGCATCCACAGATGGGATGAAGATTGCTTACACATTCCAGCTCCTGGACCTACTGCTTGACTCTTTTCTTTATCAGATGTGCCAAACACCATTGGGAGGCTGTTGTTATTTTGGAGGCAAGAGATTACTGGCTTATCTTTAAAGTTAAACCAGCTGCTTCATTTTATACACCCTATATTGAAAATATTCAAGGTTGCATTTGGTAATTGATATTTATTGCCATGTTCAGGAGATGAATTTGTTGAAAATTTGGATTAATATTCAAATGGAAGACTGAGTCATATGGAATGTTTTTAAGCAAATTTAGAAAGATGTGCTGAGTATGAGCCCACAATTCATTTCCAAAAACAGTCGGTATTGGAGCCATGTGTCGTGTTTATCCCATTTTTTCCACCACACAACTAATGCTCTGTGCTATGCACGCAATGATTGTGAAGCCATAAGCTCTGACTGACATTGTGCAGCAGCTGTACCATGGGGGAGGAATGGACTTCCAAATGTCCTGCTCACTCAGATGTATGGAAATTTAGCTCACAGATGTCTACCTCATAGAAAAATCTTACAGAACTTAATGGAATGAAAATTTTAGATTATGGTGATGAGGGTAGGCTGTGCCCTTATTTATTAGAAACTGCAGCTATTTTGGTTTTCACTAAAAAATGATTAGACTCAAAAGGTGCAATAAAGACTCGCTTGGTTTCTCTTGGAGATTCAGGTTAGTTGCAAACTCAAGGAAGAGAATTAAATTTAGTTAAACACAGGCTGATATAAAGTATCTTCCCATGCTCACTTTTTCTTTCATTTTCCTTTGTATGTATGTGAAATGATTCAGCTCAGGTATAATTTCTGTGATTTTTAAATTGAATTGAATGATTGGAGTAAATAGTACAAATAGTAAATACTTTGGTTAAAAATGTACCTTACATGGAGGGAGAACTTTGATGAAAGTGAATAGATAAGTATGGGTAACAAGAAAAATCATGAGGTAAATGTTAACTTAAAACAGCGGCCTTTGTGTATTTATTGCCTAAAGAAGGCACATTGGGAGATAAAGTTAAATATTCCTTTAGGCTGTATGCTCCATGCAATCAAATGTCTTAGAGGGGCTCAGCAAGACTTGCCAAATAAATGTGCTGATCTTAACCTGACTTGCTGTTTTTTTAACATGAATTTTCCTTTACATTGGTTAGAATAACTGCTGAATCCAGAGCCAGGCTAATTTTGGCAAGAAATTCCAGAAATGCTGAAAGGACTAATATATACAGTGATAGAATCATAACTCAGCTGACAGATGGAACCAATTCTGTTATGCTGGTCTGTCCTTGTCCATTACCAAATCATCCCTGGCTCAAAAAAAGTAATTCAAATCAGGGAATACTTTTCAATTTGCACATAACACAAGACCATGTGTTCTTACCTTGAATAGCAATGAAAATTGAGTTTAAATGTTTGGAAGTTGCTGTCGAGTTTTAAGTTAGGTTCAGCCTACTCCTGGCAATGCAGTTGCAAATCCATGATGACAGAATAACTGATGGTATGTCACACCACTGATGAGATAATGTCATTACTGACCTACATTTTAATAACACAGCAAACACCATGATTACTTCTCTACTGGTGACCTAATCTCCCACTTCTGAAAGAGTAATAAATATCTTGCCTTAGAGGATAAAACACACACAAAAGTAAACCATTTTAAAGAAAGTTGAAGCCATAGTCTCCAAGTTTTATGTTATGCAACCTTTTGTTATGGTATGGACAGTCATCAGTTTTCCTAATTGACAGAAATATAGCTATGTTTGCAGTACAGCAGAAAACTGGTTATTTGATTTTTATAACCTTAAGAGAAGATTTTACTAAATATTAAGTGGGTGTAACCTCCTTTGCAGATGAGATCAGAATACTAATAGAGATGTATTAGTATACTTAAAAAGACACAAAATTGAAAAGTCTGCTCTGTGGGAAAATACAGTCATTCAGGAGAAATCTTATTCTAAACCTGAAGAAAAACCAGAAAGTCTGAAATTTCTCCTGGAAAACAAAATTCCTAAAAATTTTACCAAAGATTCTGGCATTGGAGGTTCAGCTGCTACCCTGACTCTCAGGAAGACCCTGATAGTGCTGAAGGATGTAAGATTTGGTAGCATGGGGAAGAAAGATTTCCCAGTGTCTGCATAAGAAACAAAATATTAAGACAGCCAGAGGGCTCTCCCACAGTCACAGATCTGTGACAGACCTGGAGAGCTCTCCATCTATCTGCACAGCAAGGTAGTTACAGAGTATAAGGTCTTGTGAACCCAAGAAATGACTGAGCAAGTTGTCTTAGGACCATGAAAATATTCTACTGGTAAATTATCAGGCAAGTGGGATACACTTGTGATCACATTTTAGGTCATCCATCCTTCTCATCCAAGTCCCCTATTCACCACAGGGAAAACTATATAGAGATAGATTAATATTACATAAACAAAGATTCATAGAAATTGTATGATCTTCTGGAAAGAAAAAGTCTCTGCAGGAATCCAGATGGAAAAGTTCTACTGAAAGTTTTCTTTTTCAGACCTTTTCTCTTCTTTTGTTTGCTTGATTCTTCTCAGCTGAGAACAAACCATTAGAACTAAAGATATGAATTGTTACTTTTTCTCTCTGCTGATAAAAATAAGTAAAATTTGTTGACTTTAGTATCACGTGGAATGTATATGAAAGCAGACATGAGAAAAATAATTCAAAGGCTTCTTGCTTGCTCAGGTGCTATTAAGTAGGGCTTGAGAATTAGAATGTGGCAGTGCTTTTCATGGTGATTTTTACAATGTGTGTGTAAAGGATGATAAATGTTTTTCTGGCTATTTGCAGTAATGAGTTGAAGATCTCTACACGTGATAAAGTTCACCTCTCTATCGTGTGAATAAGTAGTGCCATACATTTTTTGTTTGTTTGTTTGTTTTAATTTATAAAAATTAGAATTTTCATCAGGGACAAGTAAGTATCCAGAGAGTGCAATTATCACTACAACTGACTGAATGCTTTATCTATATTGTTTGTGGATTAGGAAACTGAATTAACTACTGGCTCACTCTGATCTAGTCTGGATTTTCTTCTCCTGGAGAAAAGGAAACATTTTTTTTCTGAAAACCACTGTACAAGCAAAAATATTTTTCAGGTCACTTTAGAGCTTTGTCCTATTATTAACAGAATTATGAAGAAAAGGTAATACATATAGGACAAGGAGCCAAAGTTAGAAGACCAGAGGTAAAGCTTTAGTGGAGATGGTAACAGATCTGTCATTCTTGGCTCTGCTGGGTAATTTCATTACTGAGAAATTAACACCTCCTGAAGTTTAGCCTGAAAATACATGTAAAAAAAACCCCTAAATATACTGCAGCCTCAGTGTGAGTTTTGGCATTATGAGTTCTATTACTGAATACTTTTTTAAAATAATATATTTTATTTTTTATTAGATCTTCAGAATTTCAGACCATGAGACATTCCACTCAAACCAACGGAAAATATGTCACCAGCTGGCTCTTTGTATTTGTTATACCCCAGTTAAAAATGCTATTCTCTTCAATGACACAATGCCCCAAAGCATGAAAAGAGTTTCCTTCCCCAGATTCTTGGTGCAAGCTGCAAGAATATAATTAGATCTTGTTCATGTAAGCTTGAAGATGAAAAATTTTGTGTTCAGAGCTTTGTTGTTTTTAAGAGAGGTACAAGTCATGAAGTGTGTCCTTCAGAACTTGAAAATTGTCTAGAAAATGGTTAAGAATACCAGTCAAACCTCCTAACAGGCTTGTTAAAATTGATTCAGGTGAAGACTGCTTCCACAAGTAGTCTGAATTCCTGCCTGAATCTGATCACTCCAAAATTGCTTGAGAAGAATTAGCAGTAAGGAATAACACATGTAATTTTTTTGCTGGCATTAAGCAAGATGAGTGCAAGATATTTGCAAGATATCAAGAAGGGTGGAGTAACAGGGTGGGAATAAATAAAAAAGAATAAACCTTTCATGAAGTTTCTCCGTAAGATTAAAATACAGAATATTTGTTGTACTAGGCTATTAGCAAAATTCATTGTATGATTTTACTGATCCCTTAGGAAGAGTTTATTACCATCACTTTTTAAGAGAGATGCCAGTGATGGATGAAAAAGTTAGTGATGGATAAAAAGATAAAATTACTCTTCTTTTATGTGAACTTAGTGTTTTGTCACATTGGTTGTTGGAAATGATGGTTTCTATGTTAGTTATAGCTATAGTTTTGATTCAGATTTTCATAAGCAATTAAACCTGAAATTAAACCACTTCAGTTTAGATTCACAAAGGGCTAGATGTGACCTTATTATGAAGAAAAAATTCAATAGCATTCAGTTTCATTACCTGTGTTACCCTCTTTTCCCTCCAAGGCTGAGTCCTCCCATCCTTCCATAGAGTCAATGTATTTGTAGGTGTGGTAAAATTCTTAAGAGTGGGACCATATTCAGTTTTATTTCAAATTAGGAAGTGTTAGTTGTGAACCTGAAAAATAATCTTTGTATACCAGTAAGATTCCATGACATATTTCCATAATAAACCTGAAGACAGCTTATCCTCTCTGACAGCAGCTGTACAGAACACAACAGTTTTAAATTCTAACTCAGTCCATGCATTGCTGATGAAGGAAGTTGGAAAAAAGAGAAAGGATTTGGCTTTACACTTGGAGCAAATGTGAATTTTCTTGTGGATTTCAGTGTCCAACCATAAGGGATTTTCTTCAGTAAATCCAAGGGACAGCTGCCTATAGAAACCCTGACCTGACTCAAGAGCTCTTCTGACATTACTGGTATGTGCTGACAGCTCTCTGGCTGCGATCCATTTTACTCAAACCTGCTTTCCCTGAATGTGCATCCGACACCGGGACCTGCTCCATTCAGCCTTTGCTAAATATATTAAAGTTGTTAAATTCTGTTCACCAAAGGCACTCTGGGAAGGGCTCAGGTCGGGGAGAGCTCTTTGGGAGTCAGTTGAATGTCGGTTGAGTGCCCATTGTCAGCGAGGCCGTGATTGGTTGGGGAGGTGTGAGAGCCATAGGAACAGAGAGCTGATTGGATGGAGGGACACGTGACCAACCACACTGCAGCTGCAGCAGCCAATGAGTGCTTTTCTTGGGGAGGTTTCAGTGAAGTTCTGTTAAGGTTCTGTTAAGTTCTGTTTGGTTTCAAGTATGAAAAGACCTGGTTTGCTACAGTAAATCTTGGGATGTATGAGGAGGCCTGTGTGCCTTTGTTCCTCATTGCTATGCTTGCTCCATTCAGTCTGCAGCAGTTCCACAGTAAAGATGTTGTTAAATTGGTCACACCTCTTGACAACACTTCCACGTTAACATTTTTGTATGTTCAAATATATTTGTCAGCTTCCTAAGGAGTGCAATGTCCGTAACAAAGGGGACAAGACTTTCATGCAAAAAATGAGAGACCTTGAACTGCAGTGGCATGAACATCTCTGGTGCAATACCAGTGTCATGGGCCTGAAAAACACACTGGTACTGATACCAACAGGCTTAGGAAACACACAGAGCACGGTGAGGCATTCCCAAAGAAGGAAAACTGACAGTGCAAAGGAGAATTAATACCAACCAGGTGGACTTGCTTAGTTACTTCATTAGGGCTGCCTCCTGTTTTCAAGGCCTAAAAGAACAGCTTGGCAACAGAAAAACATCCAGATTGTTTACCTAAGCTTGCTCTTCCTGATCATTGCTTTCAATTTCCATCCTAGTGTTACTGCATACTACCCAACAGTTAAAATCGGCACCTGAGTTACACAATAGTGTTTCAGTGGCAACACTGAATGTGTGTGTTCCTGCCTTCCCCTCCCTCAGCATGCCCCTCACACACACAGCATGTTTGCACTTGCATCAAAACTCAAATCCAGACCCGCAGTTTAACCACCTGCAATAATGCTGGCCCTGGGTGGATTGTGCAGCAAGAAGCCATGGAGGCCGTGCTTCTCCCCAGCTCGAAGCATTGCTCCAGAGGCCACACAAGCTGTGTAGCCAGGCTGTAAGGCTCAGTGACACACAGATACCGAGTGCCTGCCACCGAGAGCACGTGGAGGGGCTGATGAGCACTGGAGCTGGGGCAAGGGAAAGGGAAGTCTCTGCACCTGGGGGCGGAGGAGAGGGAAAAAAGTGGGTGGGTGTGTTTGTGGGGAGACGAGTATGGAGGGCCTTCTCCTCCGTCCACAAGCAAGGCCAAAGGGGCTGTGGTGGGGGCAGTGCCTGCCCAGCAAAGGAGGCAAAAGGCAGTGACCTCAGTGAACACCGTTCCCTTTCAGTGGAACAGCAAGTTCTGCTGTTGGCAGTGATCCTCCTTTGGGAGGTTCCCGCTTGCTCTCCCCACAGGGAACTACTTGTTCCTGTCCCCACAGCAGGCTTCTCTCTCTGACATAGGCCACAGCAGCTTTCTTTTCCATGCTCTGAGGAAATGAGGACTTTCATGATGACAGTGGGAGGGCTGATTAATTAATATTTTAGCTATTTTGACCATCATAACTTCTGGTGGAATTCAAGAGGCAAAATTTATAGTCCTACAGTGCTACAGAAGTGGAATACCAAGACCTGACTGCTGCACACAATCACTATTTGAGTCACTTAATAATTTTTTCAGGTAGCTGCACTGGATTGACATTCTTTAAGAAACGGTGAGTTAAATAAAAAGGACACATTTCAGGCAATTTGAGAAACTTTTCTCCTTTTATTTTTTCTTCACACACATATATATGTATATATTACTGAAAGGCAACTGTTGTTCTGAAAACTCAGCTTCTGAGCTTGCTGGCATGGTTTTCTGAAGACTTTCCCAGGACGGTAACTATGAACATAGAGATGTGTACATTCTTTCTAATACACATCTTTTAATGGACATTTTTCAAGGCCAGTGCGGTTGGGAAGGCGTTATCCTGACTATCCAGTCCCTGGCCGTGGTCAGAAACCTTTAAGTCCTGGGAGAAGAAATAAACTCTCTCTTCCTTTCAGCACACCTCGAGCTGTGTTCGTGTGACCTATTCACCTCCAGCAGCAACAGGGCAACTATACCAGGGAGGTTCAATTGCCTAAACTAACTGTAACTGGAACATCATTTTACACTAACAATCCTAAAAGGCCTCTTGAGGCAATGCTAATGAACACAATTCCTGCTATGAAAACTTGGACTACCTGTTCTCCTATGGTAAAATGAGGTAAAACTATTATCTACTCTGAGGTAAAAGTATTATCTATTTACATATACTGAGATAAACTACATCTTTACAAAAGCATTGAAAATACAGGTTACTAAATACAATAATTCCCTAACAGGCTATGTTTTTCAGTCTTCAAGGTGTGCCAGGCAACCTCTGTCGGGTTCAGTGTCTTCCATGAGGACGTGTAGGTGGAGCCAGTTTCTGCCTTGTAGACATTGCAACAGCCTTAGCAACATTGCAACAGCATCATTGTAACCGGAAAGTGAAGGGCAAGGCAACTCAGAGATGTGAGTCTGCACAAGGAATCCATGTGCTGCAGCATCTTCCTTCCGCAGGAGCAGGAAAGCAGCTTCAGGATTGCCAGTGACAAATGCAACAACTGTGCAGTGTTCACGTGGCTGCCATCGGGTGTGAGCCCCCCCAGCACAGCTCTGTGCAATGAACTGCTCTCAGTGGCTGGAGAGCAGCATCCAGAGGCGAAATCGCAGCTGACCATAAGCTTGCATCGCCTCTCTGTGGGCAGCTGGATCTCGGGCCAGGTGCTCAAAGAGGTTGAGCGGCTCAACCCCTTGCAGTGCTGGTGGCAAGCTGATCTCTGCAGGAAGCCTCTCATTGCCAAGCACAAAGTGCTCCAGGCGTTTCAACTGCAGGCAGCAGTGCAGGTATGCCATGATGTCCCACAGCCTCTGCGCAAATTCCCTCCTGCTCCAGCGGGACAGTGGTACAATGGTCAGCACGTGCATGACCACGGTCTTCCAGGTAGAGCTGGAAAAACCTGTGCCCCTCAGGATGCAGGTGAAGACCTGCAGGCATTTCAGGTGCAAATTCTCACATGGCACCTGCCTGGCAATGTGACGGAAGAATTTCACCTCTGCCACAGCGTATGTCTCAGGCCACACTGTGCGTGCAATGAAGTTGGCCTCAACAAGCTGGCTGCTCACAGAGATGCTGGAGCTGCCTTTCTGGGCCTCTGTGGGCTGGCTGACAACAAAAATGTCAGAGTCCCCTTGGCGCACCCCAAAGAGCATCTCCACCTTCACGCTCTTCTTGCCTTTGCTCAGCTGGAATTGGCAGGACCGTCTGCAGGGCTGAAACACCAAGTGCCAGGAGTATGCCTGAGGCACATGCAGCCACGAGGACCTCACCAACTGGCGGAACCAGCGGGAGGTTTTCTCCACGTCCAGGTAGGAGCCGGTGCAGAGTGTCTCTAGGAGGCTGCGTTTCCGCTTCCGCCGCAGCTCCTCCTGCGAGTGGTGCACGAAGCACAAGAGCTGCTTGCCCAGCTGCTCCCTCTTGCACGTGCACACCAGCTCCACACGGACGCTGAAGGTCCTTGCTGCCACCTGCCCTGCGCTGTTAAGCTCTGGGTGGAAGGCATGCCCTGGCGGGGGATTCAGCGGGATCAGAACCCGGTACACCCCATCCCACTCACGGGGACTCCAACCCTCAAAGGCACTGCCCACCCCAATGGCTTCTTGAGGCACTGGGTAGAAAGTATTGCTCACGCGGTCCACAAAGACACGTGTGAAGCTTTCCATCAGCTCAGCTGTCACTGAGCGACCTCTCTCCAGGTCCTCCACCGGCCACTCTATGTGATCCACTAAAAGGATGCCTTGCTTATTCCCAGCATCTCGGCCGTCTTCTCTGTCTTCAATTCCACCCCTGCCGCTTTCTTCCTTGCCACCATCACTGCCTTCTTTTTCACTGGCAGCCACATTACCTTGTTCGTCTTCTTTTCTATCCTTGTTCTTGTTTCTCTCCACATTTACACCACCCTGTTCTTCATCCTTGCTTCGATCATCGTCATCTTTTTCAATTTCCTTATTTTCTTCCTCAGTTGCAGGAAAACCACTATTGTCAACTTCCTTCCCACAATCAATTCCAATGCTATCCTCCTGCCCAGTCCAATCACTGCTTCTCTGTTCACTGGCATCACTGCTTTCCTGCACTTGCACATCCGTGTATTCTTCCTTTCCATCTACATTGTCTTCACCTTCATTTACATCTCTGTTGCCTGCCTTCATATTTCCACCATTGTTTTTTTCTTCATTTCCATCTCCTTCTTCTTCCTTTCCAGCATCCTTGTCTTGCTCCACCTGCACATCCTTGTTTGCTCCTCCATTTGCTTTATCTAGGCCTTCTGCATTTCCAGCAACATTGCCAGGTTCTTCATTTCCTTCTGCAGTATTGTCTCCTGGCACATTCTCATCACTCAGTCCTTCATCTTTCTTTAAGTCACGGCCATTGTCACTCTTAACATCACTGTCTTCCTTCCCCTTCACCTCATCATTGCCTTCAATGGCATCATCGTCGTCTCCCTCATTGGAAGCCACAGGACTGCCTTCTCTGTCATTTCCACTGCTGCTGTTGTCTGCCTCCACAGTCACATCAATGTTTTCCTCGCCTTCCCTTGAATCAACACTGTCTCCCTCCTGTTCTATTCCTCTCTCATCTCTCAAAGTCTTGCAGGAGCTCTGGTCCTTGCCACTGCTGCTGGCTTCACGGCTCCTTCTGCTGCAGCTAAACCACAGGCCCAAGAGGAGTAGGACTCCAGCAAGCACCCAGAATGGCCACTGCTGCAGAGCACCAAAGAGCACGGCTCCCCAGCCCTCGTCCTGCTGCTCCGGGGGCCCCTGCTCCAGCTCCTGCAGCAGCCGAGCCATCTCGCGGTCCAGCAGCTCCTGCCGCTCCTGCATTTGCCGGTGCGTGGCCTCATCCAGCCCATCCCCAGCCGGCTGCGGGTACTGGATCAGGCTTTGCACGAGCACGAAGAGCAATGGTAATAAAGCCATGGTCTGCAGGAGGACACACAGAAGCTGTTCAGTGGGACCAGAATGGAGACAGACAGTGGGGGGCAGGAGCCGCAGGGATGTGGCGGCAGGAAGGAGAGGGCCCCGGCAGCTGGCAGGTGGCAAGGCCTGCATCGCTGTCCCCGCAAGCGCCAGGCCCCGAGCAAGGCGCTCCTGCCAGGGGCTGGGCCCTGGATGCAGGGACAGAACTCATGCCCTGGGTGTCAGCGCTTCTGCCCCAGCCCAGCCCTCCTCCAGCCCTGTCCCCACTGCGTGTGCACTCACCGCTTGCCCAGGCTCTACTGGGGCAGTGGGGCTCACTGGGGCCTTTTACAGCTGTCCCCATTGTGACACGGCCCCTGTGCTGTCACAGAACCCAGAGCGCATCACAGGCCAGCCCCACCCGCCATCCCCAGCCCGGCTCAGGGAACTCATCATGGCCCTGGGCACCCAAAGCCCCAACAGACACCAAGTGCAGACCCATCACTTGGGAACCTGGCAACTCCACAGCTTCTCTTTACAAAGCAGGCACAAGCGCCCTCCCACACAACCGTTGTCAAATATAAATCTGAGTGACATGACCCATGGATGTTCTCAGCATTCAGGTGTAGGCTTTTATTTAATACTGGAGGGGGACATTTTTTATTATCAGTATTTTTACTTATTAATTTAGGGGTAGGATGTCAATAGGCTAATGTTTTGTTACAGATTTAGTGAGAAATTTTTCTGAAAGAAATCCAGGTTGCTTGGATGATACACAGGAACATTTAATAAAAAGGCCAAATTTAATAAAAAGGCCAAATAAGTTAATTACGAAATTTCAGTGTGTTCAATAGCCTCTTAGCTCTCAAATTTTATGGTTCAACACCATGGAAAATTCTGGTTTAGCCAAGATTTTGTTCAGAAAGTAGAATGTCTGGGTTTTTTCAAATTTGTGCACAGATGTACCTCTGTCATTCCCTCCATCTTCAAAATCGTCTCCCTTAAACAGAGTTAGCCAATCTCTCTGACTGACACAGGAACTTCTGTCTCTTTCTGCTCTTTGTGTATTTGTATCCAAAGGACTGTGAGTACAGAAGAGATTATACTCCTCAGCCCTTCTTTGGGGAACTCATCTAAAAATGGAACTGCAGAAATGGGGAGGGAGGAAAGTGAAACAGGATGTGACTTGAGTACCTGCATAGTGATCACAGACATCCACTGCTAGACAGACACTGATGTCAGGCAGATCATGCCCTCCCATTACTGTGCAGGAGAATAATGTTGGGATTTCTGAAACTGTTCTGAATTGCATTTGCTTACCAGATGTTATTAGTAAAAGTAGTTAAAGAAAGAGTTTTGAACTCTCTTCTGAGCTGATGCCACTTATCATGTATCTTCCCAGCATTCTTCTAGGGAACCTGTTTTTGATGTTGTCCCATCCTTCTTTTTACAAGGGAGCAAAAATTCTTTGCCAAGTATCACCATTTCAGTTTTGTTTCCTCTCATCTTCCAAGATTTAATGAAGTGAACATTCAGCAGAGTAGTTTTGTATCTTCTGAACACAATTCTTTTATCCAATTGAGGCCCTTCTGTGACCATGAAAAAACAAAAACTGTTGTGAGCTACAGTTTACACTTAAGAGGTTGATATGGGTCAGTTCTCCAAGGTTATTCTTAGTTCAACTGCTATGTAAACTGTTGATGTCAGTGACTGGAGACTGCTCTCCAGGACATTATATACATGATAATTATATGACAGAAAATGCAACATATAGTTGGATCTGACCTTCAAGTTCACTAGCTTAAAAATGGAAAAAAAAATGTCTGTAAGAAGTTTGCTGGTTTTCCCATTATTAAATGCCTTCACATTTATATTTAGTTTACTGTATATGCAAGAGACTTTCCTTGCATGGTCACCAGTGCCCATCCATCATCAAGCTAGGGTATATTTTAAGTCTCAATGATCACTGCCTTCAGAGAGCATTTTTAAGACAAAACAGGCAAAATCTTTTGTATAACTATACAGTCATCCAGTACTAGGATCTTTACTCTCACATAAACACCTCATGCTTTTCTGCAAAGGAATATGAGATAGATTTTTCTGAGAAATAACAAATTATCAAAAATTAAATAACAAACAAGGGGAAAACACCACTTCCTCACTCAGGACATTTTCCTTGATTTTCATAAGCATTCAGGTTTACAGCTGCTGACACTACCACAAGAGCAGTTTTTTTTCTGGTTTTACTTTCTCTTCACACAGCACAGCTGCAAAATGCAAACTCATTTCTAGGCTCTCTTATACATCACCAGTTTACCACATTCCAACCAGTCATAGTTGTGCAACACCCCATCAGGGTGCTGGGATTACTGCAGTGTCACAGACAGTTTAAGAGAGGCTCAAGGAGCTGTACAATTTTAACTATGTTTTATATGTATAATTAAATGATGCATGACATGGAAATAAGCCAGCTGTATTGAAACTCAACAAACTAACTGGTCTGATGCAACAGTTAAACATCTCATCAGTTATAAAATTAAACAGGTTTAAAGCAAAAACAATATAGGGAACAGAATGTCTGACATTGTAAAGCAGCATGTTCAAAGGACCATTTTTGAACATTAAACGAGTGTACTCATCCAGTCAGAATCTCAAAAGAATTCCTGGCACCAAAATATTCTCTGTTTGCTTTTTCACCATGTTTACAGAATGGATCACTCTTAGGGGGAAGAAAATCCTGTGTGCAAAACACTGCATGAAACTAAACAATCCTTAAAGTGTGGCTAATTTCCATGTGGAGCTGATGATTTAGCACTGTCATCCTTCAGCAGAGGAGAAAGAACTGCCTGTCTTTAGTTTACTTATGTAAGATGAAAAAAGTGAAGAGTGTGAATTTGATCTTGCTTCAATTTACTTCAGTGGCCAGACTCTTGCCATGACTCCAGTGGGAGTGAGACTGCAACTAAATTCATTCAATGTGGAGAAAAACAAATCAGCTGAGAATAATGCTCTTGTTTATTAGATTTAAATTACTACTACAGTTGTTTTTAACAGTGCTAAGTAAATCCTGTTTTAAAAGACAAAGGTTGTCTTCAGTCGTGCTTTTTCCCATGTACTGTGTCACAATGCAGGAATCCTGGTCCTCTGACCAAGTCACTGCTGTTCACAGCAAGCATGGCTTGCTCTGGGCCATGGCCACATTCCCACATGGGAATGATATATGTTTGTGGATGTCACTGATGACAGCATCAAAATCTGGGCTGGGGCATACTCCTGAGCCAATAAACCAGGTTGCACACTTTTGTAAAATGAAAGCATTCACTGAAAACAAAGACTGCACTTAGTAAGATGTCCATGAAAAGCAGCAAAGTAAATCAAATCAGTAGGGTTAAATTTGCAATAATGAATCTGCAAATCTGCAGGGAAATTTTAGGATACACACAAATTGAAAAAAGTTTGTGGTTTTTTTTTCTTTTCCTTAGAAGGCAAACAACCTTCTGGTTTGACTATTCTCTACCCTATAAAGTAGAACCTAGAGAAACATGTAGAAAATATGTTTGGAAGAACCACTCAATAAAAGAGATTATTACTCAGAAGATAGAAATGAGACTGTCTACACTGTATGAATTAAACATATATGAATTAGGACACAGACCCTTCCATTCTTTAGTAACAAAACTGATGCTGTCCTGAAAATGACATTAATGAATGAGACTAGGTTATGAAAACTTTCTGCATTTGCTCTAGAGCTTGGAATAAGGATGTTAAATGAGGCAGCAGACAACAAAGATGTGCTGCTTAGTGAAGCTGAACGTCACTTCTAAGCTTGAGGAGTTCTAGAGTTTGTATAAAGGTGACAGGTTATCTCCAGCTGCATGAAAATGAGTGATAAATACACAGTTTCTCTTAGATTGAAAGCAGTGCTAGACAAAGAGTATTAAAATATGGAATATTACTCAAAAATCATCCCTTGGTTTTCTAAAGATGGAAATCTTCTATTAGAAGACAGTTTGTCACCTCCTCCATATACTAAAGCTATAACATAATCATAAAAGCAACTCAAACTTGTAGGAGTATCTCAGATACACAGATTAAGTAAGATCTATGCAGTGAGAGCACCCTAAAAGCATCACAAGAACAGTGACAATTTCTTGATAGTAATGACATGAACCAATACCTAAAAGTGAAGAAGAGAATTTTTCAACTAATGGATCTGGGAAACTGTGGGAATAAAAGATGGCATATGTGATTAAAGCTCATAGTGTATTATATTAACACAGGTGGATAATATATAACTTTGATTCTGCATTACAACATATTTCAACTGAATTGTGTGTAGTTTTATTTTCATACATGCACGATTTTTAGAACATTTTTTAGAATTTGTACAATTTTTTTAGAATTTCTAATATTTTTATATTTTTAGACTGGGTCAAACAATAAAGGAAATTCATTGTATAACATTGCATTGATCCCCATATCACCCACTTGAATATCTCAACATTTCCAGCACAGATTCCCACTCCTTAAGATGAAAACCCAAAGAAGATGAAAGCCTATAACTGCCATCAAGAGAAGGTCTAAAATTTTAATTGCTGTCTGAACACAAAAAAGAGCTGTGACATGCTGTGGTTTATTGAGGCACTCCTGCAGTTATAGACACATCTTTAACTACCCCACCCTCTCCCTCTTCCCCCATCCACCACTAACTGATGCAGCTGGGAGATTCAGTAACTGCAGAGCAAAATCTTGTTTACTTTCAGCTCTCCTGCCCCAGTAAATGCTTAGCTCTTCTGGGAAGATGGACCTATGCCATAAACACATTGCACCATGAAGGGAATGAAACCTTCCTTCCAAAGGCGTGTGTGACCAGGTTTTTGGAACTGCCTGATGTGGCCAGTTTTCATCGGTTTTCCATAAAGAAGGGCAAGAACCATGTATTCTCCTCCTCATGATATTTCAAGTCTTAATTCCAAAGCACAGAGATGCCAGGACTTGTCAGCGACATGACTAACAATTTTATGAGAACTGGCAAGATAGTTCATGTCTCCTACATCTTACTCGCAGAAACCTTGGAATTATTTTGTCTGAAACACTTGGGGGAAGGAAAGAAGACTTAATTCTGACAACTTTATTAAATATTCAGTACATCTGACATCCTCTTATCAACAACAAAAATATGGTTTAATTATGATAAGCCATATTGGAGTCATTTATACTACGTAAGTGTGAATAAACAGCAGTAAATTTTTTCTTGTTTCATGTGGAAAAATACATACCACCTTCCATCCCCCCCAAAAAAGTAAGACA